CTGGGCAGTGAGCAGTTGCCGGGGATAATTGATGATGAAAATAATTACCCCTTCTTCTTCGCCGGGTGCTCTTTAAACGCTCCACGTGTATTACTCATTTGATTTCTCGATACCCCTCTGAAGTAGGCGCTTTGATTTTCCGCATTTCACAGATGAGAACATTGAGGCACAGAGAGGTTAAGTAACTTTTCTAAAGTCACACAATTAATTGACGAGGGAAGCTAGAATTATGGTGAAAGCCACACCACGGTCCCGGGAGGGAGGTACTGATATTCCCACATTTTACTGGGGTTGCTGAGGTTCAGGGAACTGTAGAGATTTACCCAGACTTGTCTTATCTTTACCCCAAGATCCTGTCCAGTATACTCTACTGCTGTCTTCCTTTTAGAATGTTCCCATTTCTACCCTTCGGAGGTCCCGGATTCTGTTTAGTTGTATAAATATTTGCTGAAACCCAGTTCTGGGTCCTGTGCCATGTGCTGGGTATGCAGAGATAATTTTTGGTTATTTTTACATCCTCGTATGGATTGGGTCAGATCCTGTTGGCTAATTCCATCAGTTTTCCTTCTGAGGGAGCCTAGTGGTACCTTTGGTATCCAGGACACACGAAAGCTACTCCTTATACTGAATATGTTTTGGTTGGTAAAATGCAATACAAGTAAATTCCTGAATAAATAATTTTGTTCTACAAATGTGTGTTCGGTTCAGTTAATGTTCAGTGATGGGTAGTGTCCTGCGTTAGACTCACTGACGAACCTAAACACAACTTTTAATAGGATGTCACTTTGGGTTTTATGACCATCACTTTCCTAGTTGAGGTAGTGGATTGCAAAGTTCAATAGCTCCAGGGTTGAGCTCTTTATTGGGTTGGCTTTTGGGAAGCTAACATCATATTAGAAAAAATCATGCAGCTGGAAGTCAAGACATGGGGATTATAGTTCCAGCTCTCAGAACCATTATAATGGTGTGAGTGTTGTCACGGCTTCTGATCACTTTTCTCATACACACGATGGGGACGTTAGACTAAGGGATGGTTAACGTCACTTATAAAGTCCTATAATTCATGCAGAAAATACACACCATGGTGAGTCCTTTTGGCCAACAGAGTATCGGTTTAGTTCTGACTGTAGATAAATATCTTAATTTTACTGAGTCTTCGTTTTCTTGCCGTTCAAATGAGTTGATCATTGTGGCGTGCCTATTTATAGGACTTCTGTGAGGAGTCAGGGAGGTTCTTGGGGTATACGTGCTTTGGATAATCTAACACTGTATGAACATAAGATAGTATTTGTATTGAAACTTACCTGAAAAGTGTCAGATTTCTCACCTCCCCCCCCACCGCCCCAGAAAAAAAGACTGGACTTGGTCCTTTGGGCTGTTTCCTGTAGTTTAGAACTCTGGAATTCTGAAGGGCCAGTAGGCTCTCCATCCTGCCTGAGGTCAGTTTCCCATGGCTGGGGTAAGGCGGCACACTCTTTCCCCTGACAACACTTTATCAAACACCCCCGCCCCACAAAATGTGGTACTTTGTTGGACAAAAGTGAGGTTTTGAGTTACAATAATCTCTGCTTTGTTCAAAGCACCCCCCCACCCCTAGAACCTGAGGTTTTCTTTGTAAGCCAACAGACGTGCACGTGTCCCCAGGTTTACAGATACCTTAAAAACAGCCTGATAAATCACCCCCCCACCAAATTTGTGCTCCACGTCTCACTCTGTCTCTCAGTGGAGATATTTTTAACTCCTACTTCTGAGTCCCCCCAGTTCCTTTAAGGAAGTGTGATCTGAAAGGGTCAGACATTTGGCATCGACTTGGAGGAAAGATTTGAAAGAATTCCTGGTGCTCCCCCTGGGGTAAGGGCTGGCTTCCCCCGAAAGAACTAGCCCTTCAGAGTGTCTTTGCCACATAAGGGCTTGTGCAAGGCCCCAGGCACCAGTTGACGCCGTCTCTTCCCCATGACAGATGGTCAGGCTTTCAATTTCAGCAAGCAATCCACTGTCGAGAGGACGGGCAGGGGAGTCTGCCAGCCTGCCAAGTGACAGGGCAGCTTCGGGTAACGGGGATCCAGTGTGTGCCCGACATAGCTTTTGTGCTAACGATGGGCTGGTGACAGGCGCCGCGCCCTGGCGCATCGCTAAGGCAGAAGATCCCCTGCTCCCTTGATTCCGGTCCTCCCTGGCAGAGCTAGCGTCCTGTTTGCCTGTCTTTCAAAATCCATTTTGGCACCAGATGGACCCCCTCGTGGTGGCCAGCAGTTGTCTGACTTGAAGATGTCAGAGGGTGTGCTGACAGCTCCTTCTAACACAACCTGAATCTGGCTGTCGGGTCTGGGCTCCAATGGCTTAAACACACACAGGCGGCAAATATTGTCAACCCTGGGGAACCGGGGAGGGAGGTACCCACTGGACAGAAAAAGGCGGTAAGGTCTCCCTCCACAATATTCACGTTGCTGATATGTGGAAATGGTAGTGCTAATAAGTTGTCTTATTCTTACGATGACTCTTATTTACTCGTATTTGTGCAATTGCCATTGTAGTGCAACTGCTGCCGATGGTACGGTTAATATTCATATCAATACTGCACTACTTCTCTTATTGTTTAAACTGCTGTGGCATAATGGTTAAGAGCACAGGCTGCGTCCGAATTTGAGTGCTAGATGCACATTTGCTAACCTTGGGGCAAGGTATTTAACATCCTGGAACCTCAGTTTCCTCATCTATGAAATGGGACTAATAGAGATTATTCAGAAGAGTTGAATGGGAAAATGTACTTGGAGTTCTTTGTGTTCAGAGCACGAGGTCAGCACCTCATACTCGGAAGACATCAGGACTATGACCGCCACCATCACCATGCTCACCATGTGCCAGGCTCTATCCGTCATTGCCGTTAATTTTCACAAATGCCTGAAAACGTAGGGGCTGGTGTTATACCCAGTTTACAGATAAGGAAAGCGTGCTGCAGGGAAGTTCAGCTACTTATCAAAGCCACACAGCAGTAGAGTTTGGATAGGAACCCCATGCTGGGTATTTCTAAGGATGGTGGCTTTTCTACCGTACGACACCGACTCTGACTATCAAATTAGCAGTTATCAGCCCTGACGTGGGGTTTCGGTGGCTTTTAAATATTCCCTTCCAACTAGCTGTGCTTGCAAGAAGCAGCAGTTTTCCCATTTCGGCGTCTTTGGATGTAGGCTGGAACCCCAGCAAGATGGCAGCCTCGCCGTCCCTGAGCTACGCCTCCTGAAGCAGTTTTGGGCAGCAGTCTGTGATCACTACGGAGCTCGGGGGAAAGGCACTTGGGATTGTGACCAGCCCCTCAGAGCCTGTTCCTTTCCCCAGACCGCCCTACTGAAAGTCAGGGGTCCGGATGGGCCAGCTGGGCTGGGGGATGACCGTGCTGCTCTTGGAGCCGGATTTCATATTCCACAGTTGGCCTTCAGCCATGTTCCGTGGTCCTTCGCCTTGTTCAGAAGGTTGATCAGCGTTGGCCTCTGTGGAGAGGACCTGGGAGCAGGGATGAATGACTGTTCCAAAGCCTGCTTTCATTGCCGGGCGGTCGAATGCTGCATGATGTTGAAAGAGCCATTTCAGGAAGAGGTTTACGTAATAATATATCACTTTGGGGTGCACAGAATCATTGTCTCTCTTCAAAGAGTTATTCCCACGCCATGCTTCCTTCTTGACTGATTCTAAGAGACCAGTGGGGAGAGGTTCTGCCAAGCCATCTCGCAGTGGAGTATTCAGAAATCGGCAGTTTGGTGGATATTGGTGCTCTGCCCTCATTACAGAGGACCCTGGTGTTCTTTGGTTGATAGAAAGACTTGGTACCCAGAGTTAAACCCAGACTTGAGGCATCCTGGCGTGATGGTTCTTCACAAATTATGTGTACTGAGGTGAGGGTTTTACTCCAGTGTAGACTTGAAGTGGGGGAAAGGTGAAGACAAGAAGACAATTCCGCTAAGAATTCAATTGACCAACATTTTACTGCGTTCTGATATTTCGGGAAAATATTTGGGCCTGAAATCCACAGCCCTAAAAGTTGAATGGAAGGAAGAACTTTCGGTGGCTTTTAAAGTGCTTCTTTTCCCAAATGTAGGCAGGCGGGGAGGTTTAATTGCGGCTGGACGGCAAGAATACCCTAAAAGGACACTTGATCTTGGCTGCCTTTTGAGGATGGGCCTTAAGAACTGCCACCTAAGAAATAGTCCAGAAGGTTATAGCAATATCTCATTTAACTTGTCACCCAGACCAGGGCACTTTTGAGAGTTAAAGTGGGTACTATTAATACTTACACTGATACACTGGTGTAGACTAGAATTGTTCCTGGCAAACTGGGACCTTTGGTCACCCTAGCAAGTAAAACCCATGGATATCACTCTAGAACTAATTCAGAGACCAACTTGGCAGTGGGGCAGGACATTCCTTATTCAGTCACAAGCAGCTTTGTCGGCAGCAGACATGTAAGGAGACACACAAAAATTCAAAAAGTCAAAGGACTTTAGTCAGTATGCGAGTCTCACCCCTTCTCATAAGCACTACAATTTAGATTATTTTATTTCGAGATGCTAAGATAGAAAGTGTTTACCATCTCCTCCTCTTCATCCAGCGTGTATTTTGCTGGCTCATCATCTGTGAATTTATGGGGCTTAAATTACATGTTGTCGTTGGGGACCAAGCGTAATTCTCAGGCAATTATCTCCTTAAATTATGGTGAAGACTTACCCTCTGTTTGAGTGAAAATACTTCCTTGGGGGTTTAATTCTTCTGTGAGATCTGTTGGCAGCACTGAGGGCGTTCCCTTAATAAAGAAGGTCCAGTTTGGATGCAAAACAAAGGCTAAAGCTTAAACAAAATATTCTAACACCATTCTTTCTGATTATTTCAGAAAACGCCCAGAGAACAGAACGCATGACCCAGAAGTGACTTACCGCTTTTTTTTGTTGTTTTTTTAACCCTCTGTGTCAGGACTGAAATGCTAACTGTGGTCATTTGTTTCTTCACAGGTTCTTCTTGAAATTTTTCCTCAAATGTAACCAAAATTGCCTAAAGAATGCGGGAAACCCACGTGACATGCGGAGATTCCAGGTGGGTCTGTCGTGTCTTTCTTAAACCTCAATAATGACATGAGTCTCAGGAGAGGGTAAAAAGTCTTAGGCAGATGAAGACAGAGTACTGTTTTCCCAGAGGTGAAGAGCAGGTGAGGCTCCTGGTCCCCAGATGTCCATACCGTAAGAGCTGTTTATATTAGAGAAGAAATAGGACTGAACCACCTGTGTGCTCTGGGTGATGCAGTGATGCCTTTGAACCTGTTTGACTTTTTAAAAAAATATATATAAGTGAAGTAATTAGGTTTACTTACTCCTTTTATTTTTGGAGGATGCACTGGGGATTGAACCCAGGACCTTCTGGAGGCTCAGCACACGCTCTACCACTTGAGCTATACCCTTCCCCACCTAGTTTGGCTTCTCAGAGGCTTAAGCCACTGCAGGTTATGTGAAATACATAGTAATGATGACTCCTTTGCCTAAAGTTCTGCAAGTAGAAAATTGGTAACTCGGAGCTTTGTGCTGTTTTGGAATTGGGTCACCGTCCTTCTTCCTGTCTCTACGTTCTTGCTCAATCTTGGATGTTGTTAGCAGCAATTATCTACTAAAAATGGGCCCCTGAAGAAGCAGGGCGTATCTAGGGCTATGTGGGTGACAGTCTGTTTCAGAAATGTCCTTGTGGAGCACACGTAAAAGTTTCCTAATCCACCACCATTCAGAGCATATATTAACTGCGTATAATTACACATTTACTAAAGGAAAAAGATGTGAAAACACATGGGTTAACTTTCCAGACACAGAATGGTGGTTGAGTTTTAGGAAAGGTTGCTGAGTTCTAGATGCCTGCTCTCAAACTCCGAAGTGCTGAGAATCCTCCAGGGGTCTTATTAAAATGCTAACTGAGGTCTGGGGTGGGCCTGGAATTCTACTTTCTAACAAGCTCCCAAGTGATGGCAAAGCCACGGACCACACTTTGAGTAGCAAGGTTCTACACCCTTGTGTCGCTCGCCATCTAGTTTCATGGTTAACTCATTTGCATGGTCAATGCTAGTTTCTCCATCAGAGTCATGATCCGTCTGTGGATGCCCACGGGGTCTGTCAGTGAAAACCGCGTGTATGTAAGGTGTGCTCCTAGGTATGGTTAGTCAGCTTTAAGTGCACAGTGAAATATATGATCTCTGAAAGGATCTTGACGAATCTTGGCTGCATGTTTTCTGATGGGAGAGAGGGAAAGGGTGATTCTGAGCACTGATTTTTGGATGTCAAGCTCTCTTTGTCTCCAAAATGATTATATTTTTTTAAGGTGAGGCTTAATAGTCTCATGAAAGAACCGATTCAGCAGAAGGGGGACTTTCTCTCTTGAGATTCTGAAGCATTTCTGTAAATCATTTGGCCTCACCACCTTTTGTCCTGACGGAGATGAATGGAAATCCTGAGTCCCTGGAAAATGTTTCTCCTGGGGAGCTTCTGACCCCAAGTGAGCAGACTTGGGTGCCCTCGTCCCCACCCAGGATGTTTTGTGTTGCGCTGGAGTCAGCGTTGCTGGTGAAACAACACATGTGATGCTTTTAAGTGTGTGTTGCTAAGTGTCTTGCAACATGAGATCGGGCTTCAGTATGAACTGTGCTGTAGCCTACCTTGGCCTTGCAATGGGCTGTGTATCTCCTTTGACCAGGGTAGGAACACGTCATATCCAGGCACGAATCAATTCATGTCTAATAAACACATCTAGGAGGCATGTGTGATGCCTTCTGCACACCGGGATCAACTTTGCTGTATTTCTCAGGGCAGCAGAGCTAGACGTGGGCTTTGATGACCCTCGGAATTTAAAGGAATATGTGTGTAAGATTTCTGGGGTCTTGTTTTCCCTCACAGGACCTGCTAGTGAAATGTCTGAAAGCTTTGAATTACAGGAATGTAGCTCTTAGATGAGATGAGAACCCATCAGTCTGTTATTTTTAAGAGTGTCTAGAAAGCCTTATTTTTGCAGACAAATAGTTATTCTTCACCAGCAGGAGGGCTACTGAGATGAGGGGGCATGAGTTAGACTTCTGGAAAGCCTCCGTTTCCTCACCTGGAAAATGGAGGGAAAATGATGATTCTGTTTATTTTGCAAAAAGACAACATTTTGCATGCATAACTAATTTGCACATGGTACAATATAAATGTAAGCCTTTGGAGAAAATAGCTGTGATGAACTAAAGCTGGGCCATTAGTTCAGCCCAGGGTTTCTCAGTTCGGGCTCAGTTGACATGTTTGATGGGATAGTCCTTTGGGCTGGGGGGCGGACTTGTCCTGTGCATTGTAGGATGTTTGACAGTTGTCACTGGCCTCTCCCCTGTAGAGAACCCGCCCCCACCCAGTTGTGACAGACCAGAATGTCTCCAGACATTGTCAAATGTCCCCTTGTGCTGAGGGTGCACGATTGCCCCTGGTTGAGACTCACTGGTTGAGTCCTACACCTGCTGACCTCTGACAGACTCTTCCTGGTGACAGTGCCACTGTCCTAAAGAGTACACTCTTTGATGAGGCAGGAGGGCTGCCTGGCATGGCTCTTTCTTGTGATTCTCCAACTGGTCCTACAGTGGGTGGACCTCTCTCAGTAGGGGCATCTACCTTGACCACCGCAGAGTCCGTCTCTGCGTTGAGGACGAGCTCTTCTTCTGTCGACAATGACAGATTCCTCAGTGGTGCTACCCGCCAGTGTGTGTTAGAATCCCGGGAAAGCCAAGGAGCAGTTTTCCAAAGGGGTGTTTGCCCCGATGGAACCTCGGGAGACTGTCTGCAGGCAGGACGTTGGAGCGCCAGCAGGTTCACTTGGCAGAGCGTGGAGGTGCGTGGAAGGGGACTGGAGCGTTGTATCCGCTCAGAGCTGCAGTGTTGGTCAGCGTTCACTTGTGTGCATTTTAGAGAAAGGAGCTATTTCTCAGAAGACTGCCTGAGCTTCGCTGAATTGATGGAAGTTTTGGCCAGTTTTCCAGGGCGAGAAAGACCCCTTATCAGATGGAGCCTGCCTCCAGTGGCCCCTGGCAGCTCACAGGACTCTGTTAGGAAATCAGCTCCCAGCTCTTCGGACGGAACCAAGACGAGGGAGATGCGCCTTCCCGGCAGCTACCCTGGCTGACAGAGCTGGGTGTCACTGAGACACTGGTGGACAGTTTCCTATGAATAGACAGACAATCACCATCATTTTTCTCACAGTACCCTAATGGGGAAGCTGACTTCAAATATTTTGATGTCACTGCTGCCTCTGAGGGGGAGTGAGAGAGTGTGTCATTGCAGCCACAAGAAAATTCTGTTTCACTCTCTCTCAGTGTGGCTTTTCCCAGTTCTGAAAACAGGAGGCCTGGAGGCTTCTGAGTGAAAGGGTGCCCTCCAGCCTGTTAAGGGGCTCTGTCCACCTGTCCTGGGCGGCCCATTTTGTATGATTACCAGGCCAGCAGTCTCCACGCAGCCATGCCCGGGCGTGTCTCCTCTGAACAGCACTCGGGGGCCTGTGTAGGTGACTGAGGGAGACATAAGAAAGGCTGCCGATCCCTTGACATGTAAAGACGTTCTGTCAAGCAAACTCAGCCTCCCAGCGGCCGAGCTTCTGGTGCGTAAACAGAGACCGCTTAATTACACAGGTCATGTCAGTTACTGCGACCTTAGCGTTTTTCAAGAAATTAATCACTTTCTACAGAGCTCGGCTATGTTCATACTTAAAGGCAGTATGGAATCAACCTTGTAGAAAATCTGGTACCATCTTTTTTCCCTTTTTTTAAAAAAAAAATCTACAATGGATGTTTTCTTTTGAAATCCCCAGACTGTGGTTAGGGTGACAAACTTGCTGAAATAGAGCGGTGGATACAGGCTTCATTCAGTTCTGGTGGGTGTGGGGACGTGGGGAGGAAGAGGGGGAAGCTATGGATGGAAACAGCTCATGACAGGCAGAATTTCACTGTGACTAAATGAGCCCGTTTCTTCATCTTGACACTAAAAAGATGCTAATGTCAAAGGACAGTGTTAAAACCATGTCACGGGTCTGGTTTTTAACTGACGGGAGCGAGACAATTCAAGGTTAAGATTTAAATCCTTATCAGTAGCTTGCCTTCTTGGGGCTGGCAGAGTCAGGCCGGTGAGGGGAGGAGCAGGCGTGGGGTACCAGCTGCCATCTCAGTGGATACCGTAATACCCAGAGTCTGGGAAGTAAAGCGACATTCCCAAATTCATCTCACCTCTTTGATAAAGGTTTCCCACAGGCCTTAACTCTCTATCTGCGTATGAATGTTAGATCTATGACTGTGTGTGAACATAAATGCAAGACACTCCGTGGTATCTATTGACAGGGTAGATGGTGAGTGTATGAACAAGAGAGACGGAGTGTTTGCCCTAATAAGACTTATCTTCCAGTTGGGGTCTATTAGTTAGGACAATAATAGCTGCTGTAACAAATAGACCAAAGAATATATAACAGCTCACATACAACAGAAGGTTATTTTTTGCTAACGTAATGGTGGAAGGCTGGTGTTCCTGGTCGGTGAGCAGATCTCATACAGGAAGTAATCTGGGGACCTGGCTCTTTTCATTTTGTGTGTCCACTCTGCCCTGGAACCTTTCTGTCTCCATCCATCCAGTTGAAGCGTAAAAACTGCATGGTCAGGGCACATGGACTTATTAAAAACCTGGTCTTAAAATTGATCCTTGTCAAATCTGCCCACATCCTACTGGCTACAAGTCTGTCACATGGGCACACGTGACCACAGAGAGGCCTGAGGTTGTCTAGTCGCAGACAAGAGGAAGAAGAACGTGGATATACGGGGGGAAATTACCATCAGCTGCTACAATGTGTACGAATAATTACAAGTCATGAAAAACTTTAATTATTGCTATAAAGACAATGAAATGGGATATTATGAGAGAGAACAACAGTGTGGGGTGGGGTAAGGGGACCTACTTTAAAGCAGGTAACCAGGGGAAAACTTCTGAGAAGGTGACTTTTAATGTCAGAGCTAACAGTTAGGGATAAATCATCCCGAGAGGTGCCAGGAGCATTTTCTG